CTTTGCTGTAGTACATCTCTATACATCGATACAACATTACGTGTTGATAGAAATCAACACGTAATGAAATAAGACCCCACGGTTTGATGATTGATAGGTGTGTGGGCTGTCTTTCATTTTGACACACAGAACAATGTTATAATAAACATACATACATACATGCTGTATGGATACATCCACCTTCTTTCAGTTATCTTTCCATTCCCACAACAATACACATAAAGAAATGGCATATTTTGGACATATTTCAAATGGTGATTAATCATGATTAATTAATTTTTAAGGTATGATTAATCTGATTAAAAATGTTAATCGTTTGACAGCCCTAGTAAAAATGTGTCTTTGACTGTGTGTACATATTTGCACACATATTTTATATACATGTTTTTATATTTGGGATTGTGGGAAACGGTATTTTGATCTCTCCGTCTGTACACACAAACTGGAAGATTGACAATAAAGTTGACTTTGTGCCCCCCACGCACCTGAACTTTAGTGGCCTCTCCAGGCTTCCATTGGACGAGTGAGACGCCCCCGCAGAGCATGAAGACGGAGAACCACTGCAGGCGGTTGAGAGAGCGGTTCAGCATGAGGACCATGCACAGGGCCGTGCACGGGATCTTCAGCTGATAGGTCACCTACACAGGAACACACAAGTTAGTTCTAAAAATGATTAACTATGGACTTTTAAAAACATGTTTATTAAGGGAAGGGGGGATGAGTTCCTGTTCAGCAACACACTAATACGGCAGCTCTGCACATACTTTGATATTATAACCACCGTTTACACTTCTTTCTCTACAAACCTCACACATTTAAGGGAAGTTTCTGTAATGTGCATTATGTGTTTGCATCCTACAAAAAACATAGGCCAAATGGGGTTGCAAGCTTAACGTTTCCAGCACCAACAAGTGTATCAACATTGTTTGTAATCAAGCAAAAACAAAACATTAACTGGTGCTTTTCCCTGATTAAATTGCAATATCTCCCTCAGCTCCTCTGCAATGACGTGCAGCCGCTAGTTAATCGTTTGCAGATGCTGCCGCTTCCTCCGAGGGATTCAAAATGAAAAAATGCTCTGATGGGTGTTGGGGAAATATTTTCCAAGGCCCATAACTTTGACCCAGTTTATCAGTTCAAACTGTCCTGACTGAGCACACGCACCTGTAACCTTGCCTGCTGTGCTCTCAGTGTTGTGTCTCCCTGTTCCTGCCTGTTGGCGTCAGCTGATAGAGGTGTTATGATTCTATCTTGTTATGCAGCATGTTGATTCTTCTCTCTGAACTAGCTTAATACATGGGTCTGGGGTAGAGTTCTTCAGAATTGATTGTAGCATCTCAACCGTGTGGTCAACCCGTGGCCCGTGACATGTTTTGTGAATTCTCCGGCCGAAGCTCCAAATAAACCGTCAGTGTTTGCCATCAAAGCTCCAGCTCTCCTCGTGTCTCTCTGAGTCCTGTTTCCAATTGCTACAGAAGTTTCCCCCCACACATTTTATAGATGGCCTTTTATTTCAGTTGGATGGCCCGCCCAAGTGAATGCTATGTGTGGGAAACACTGATTTGTACATTCCTCATTAAAGCCCCTGTCACATTGTCCCGAAATGTACACCCGACGGACACACGAATATGGAATTGTGAATTTCGCACGAAGATGGCCCCGAACCACACACAAAGGCAACATTTACATTACGTTTAAGACATACAACTTCAACGAAAGTAACACAAACAATTATGTTAAAGTATTATGATACTGTACTGATATTTTCAGACTTTGTTCTTTACTTTCTCCGTCTTTATATGTAGAAGATATTAAGTTTTCTCCGTAATGTTGTTTCGATAGCAACAACAACCTCCTGTCAACTCGCCTTCAAAATAATATATTATATCCTTTTTAGTTTCA